ACAAAAGGGTTATCCTCCGCGCTTTACCGATCAGAACAAACGAGTGATTAATTACTTTTTGTGTTATGCGGTTTTGAGGTAAATAACATTTGGGGTGCAACATCTGCATTTTGGTCGGTTGTCGGAATGAAATCCGCTAAATACATATCGATTATGTATTAGCATAACGTGTACATAATAAACGTGTTTGTTTTAACGTTAGCGAATTAACATGTAAACACAATCCGGGTGGTGGAACTATTTAATTTCCGGTTACCGAATCTGGGTTACCAGTAAGCGGTTTAGCTGATGAAAACAAACTGCAATATTGTACGTCGAACAACAGAAAATAGTAAAGCTATGGAAATGATTGACACGCCCACGTTTAATCAATTAACTAATCTAATCAATGGGCGATCTACAACCTACCTAACCTGCATCTCTCTTATATTAGTTATATGTAGTTGTATTTCATCTTCTGCGACACGCTGTACATTGAAAACGGAAACGCAATAAAGGAAGTGGTCAGTCACGCTTCGTAACAGAAGTAGAATTATTTTACAAGGAATGGCTTAATGATAAAAACAGTCGGAGGGTATTCGAGAGGATGGAATGTGCATAGAGGCCGAAATCGTACCGAGTTAAACCCAAAGAAACTCAACACAAAAGGAAACGGGTCTCATATGACTTCACACGCCGTTTACGTGAAAAAATGCTTTACGACCCTGCGAAGTCAGGCTAAAATGTCAACTAGTACGGCATGTTAAATATTTTTAAGGAAGTTTGAACCAGAGCCAAATCCCAGGTTCGGGATTTGACCAAAAATTTACAAAATAATTATTATTTACATCATGAAAATAAAATATTTGTCATGTTTTGACCACTTATCACGCTTGAAAAAGAATAAATAAATTAGGAGCCTGTTTTTTATCGAGTTATCCTATATAAAACATTTTTTAATCCGGAATGATTCCCAAGAAGTTCCTAAATAGAATTACTCAGTAGAAAATTGTCTTTAAAAAAAAAAAAAATATTCGCAGTGTTCTCAATTAAACAGTCTAATAATAAATTCACACCGATCAATTGACAACTCATGTTTTTTTTAAACACTTATGTCTTGTTTAACAAAAACATATACTCGTATAATGCACACCGTCGATAGGGGAACACATAGTTTGCCGGACGGTCTTTTATTCGTATGACTGTTAGGTTAGCATAACGAGCGTGTTTCGAGAGGTCTTGAGCAAATCAAGGTTGTTATTTTCCACTTGACACGTTGTAGGACACATGCTAAAAAAGAAAAATGTTGTTTTCCTAAGTTAAACCAGGGTAGTGCGATGTTATTTAAATATACCAACTAATGGGTGGCACGCGCGGGTTGTTTCGAAGCACGTTTTCAAATTGATCAATTCCAACACATTTGTTTTACGCTTAAAATATATATATATATATATATATACGTATATATAACGTAATATATAAACTATATGCACACAAGAGAAAATTTTAAACGGAAAATAGACCACAAATATACCTGCCGTCGTAGGACACCACTAAACAATTTAATGTTCGGCTTCCATTTTACAAAAATATAACAAGGTCGAATGAAAACTTAATATATATAAAATGTAACGCTATTATTTACAAAATAATAATAACCTTTTATTTGACATCACGACATTTATCCAGTAAAAATAAACTATGATTTTATCGCGATAAACTACACTAAATTTAAAACATAAAAGTTTGTTTTTAAAAAATGCCACTACAATCGGCTTGTTTCCCATAGATTCGATCAATATAACACTCAGTATACGTTTTTGAGCTCTCTGTATATATATTATATATATATATATATATATATACTGTCGAAATAAATTGTAACCGCAAAATTTCCAATAAAAAAAAAAAAAAGAAAAAAAAATACTCAGTATATTACAGAGTAAAAATAAATAACAAATTGACAAGTAAACCATGACATCGCGGTACTACGACCAAACATTATTTAATTATATCAATAAACATAATAACTATTATAATTTTTTTAACGTTTTATTTCAATTTTGGTACATCATAATTTACAATGTACAATTTGGACAAAGTTCGGACCGGCCAATTTAGGCGATGCCCGCGTTATACAGAAAACGAATAATATTATTTTACATCGGAATTAGTCTCTGGGGATCGAAAGGCTGTACTCGCGATACACACTAAATGGTGGGGGGGGGGGAGAAGAAGAGTTCAGGGATAACTTCCCACCCGGCAGTCATCCTGCATTTTATATACATATATATATGTTCTATTTTCGCGTTACCCGAGGGACAGTCAGGAAATCCGGGGTACACCATAGAGTATTTCCATCATTTTCAGCCTTCGCGCGCTGTTATTGCCTAGAGGATAAATACACCCAGGTGTCTGCAATAGAATTTTTTTTTCTCCTTTGAAAATTATTATTTTTTTATGCCTATCACACAAAATATAATATAATATTATTATGATCGCGACCGCGGTTACCGATTGCTGGCGTCCTACACGCGCAGTCGTTCAAAGGTTCGACCCGCTTTTATCGCTTCTGGCAGAGACAGCTTTTTATTTACTTTTTATTAATTATTATTATGAAATTCTTTGACAGGCAATGCCGCGAAAAAAATGAAAATTTAAGAAAAAAATAATAATAACAACAACCAACCCGATACAATACGTCTTGTGTGTCCTGCGCTGTCGTCTTTCGCCCGAGTCATTAATTTTCATGTAAATTATTATTTTTCCGACTTGATGGATATCGAATTCCGCGTCTACGTCCGCGTTTACTCAACAAGTATTGCTTACACACCGTTAAAACCAAACCTAACCTCCCACCCATATCGCCTATAAAACAAAATATTTTTACCAACGTAGTCTAAAGTAATTAATAAAATACGAAGGAAACCAGATTTTTCCAATCGGTCGTAGTGGCCTGATTTTTTTCTTCTAATTAATGATTTCTATTTTCTACTACTGTACTGTACTACTTTGTTTTTGTAAACGGAACATTTGTACATTCCGTATTCATAATAATACGACGAGGAAAATAGTTTTTACAAGACATGACGGCTTCATTAAAGCGGATGTCTACCGTTTGGACAACTGTAGTGTCATCACTGGCAGAACTACTCCATTCTTCACTATTTAAACATACAAATGTATTTGTGTTAAATACAAACATACAAACTACTGGATTTTAGTCGAGTTGTCAATTACTTTTATTCTACCCTAATGAACACGTGTATTTTAAAACTAATTTTTATAACATTAAAACAAATTAATTAAATAAGTATAGTACACACATTTGTATAGATTATTTTCCAAGGTTTAATTAGAGTACACGTATTGTTTAATTAACACAAATAAAAAAATTAATTGTAAATAATATAAGTGCTTTTGTATAAAAATTAACTGTTCAAATTGTAATTAATCCAAGGAGCTTACGAAAACCGACATAAAATATATAAGATATAATATAAGTATACCAAAATAATTTTGCTGCTAAATCTTGCTAATTATGTAAAGATTTTAAAAGTAGGTAATTATTTTTAATTTATCGAAAATTCTTGCTGCCTCGGAGGAAGTAACTAAATTATTCTTTATCAATAGGTATTATTTCTCCAAGCCAACACAAACCGAGTAATTCTGCGTGGCTATTTTAAGGCCAAACATATCTGTTCTATCTGATAGAAAAAAAATAACTACCATTAAAATATTCTTATAATTGTACCTAATAAAATATAAAAACAACAGTTTTAAATTTACATTAGGAATTTGCTAAGACTTGCCTATCCCACCTCCTAAATAAATAATTATAAACATGTATACCGTCTTCTTAAAGTAACGTTGAAAAACAACTCAGTCTATCGTCAAAGTTCAAAATAACCATTACGTAATAAGACGTATTCTCTCAGATATCAAACGGTTACACAAATTAATAATATCAAACTATCGAATAACATCGATCCCCGTCTAAGATGAAAGGTAAGACACATCATGTCAATACACTTCACTTCACTTCCTTAATGTTGTCGTTTAAACGAGAAATTGTACACACATATTATTACTTATACAATTAATAAAACATTTAAATAGTGGAGATGATAATCAAAATTAAAATCCCATTGTAGAAATCACACTATTACCTTTGGTTTTTATTTATATATATTTATAAAACAAAATAATATAAAGGATTTCAGAAAGCGGAAATGAAAAAAGTAACATTAATAACGTTTCCATTGTTGACAGAATAAATATAAACAGTTTTTAATGGAATAATGGAATTAAAGTTAAATTTTAGCGAAAATCACATATTTTATGATATCTCGGAGAAAATTCTTGTTGTTGTGATATATATATATATATATATTAAACTCGTAAGACACATATTTTTTCCTTCAATGGTAAGGACGTTAACTGTTTGTGTCATTTACACGCGCGCGCTACTTCCAGAAAGGACTGCCGACAACCCGAACATTTTATTTTTTAAGTATTCTTCCTAGTAAGAACCGTCAATGCGAATGACTCATAAAAACTAAAATAATTGTTCACCATTAAAACGTATTAATTACAAAAAATAGCTACAATATAATACTATATCAAGCAATTAATATGGTTATATATATATATATATATATAACCACTAAGTTTTTATGTTTTTAAGAAAAATTGTAACCCTTTTTTGAAATAAGATTTCTATAATATTACCAGTGTTTAAGTCTTATTAGCCGTTTTCTACTTTACGTCCGAAGTTGTTTTTGTTTCCATAGTTTAAAATGATAACTCCTCTTTATGCTAGCGTTGCTACAAATGGTAACGTCAAATGTCTTGTTACCAATATATAGGTAATTCGAGGGAAACTTAAATGGGTTACAGCGTACGTATTATTGATATATTCAAATTCTTTAGCGTACATCCTTTGGTAGAAACTATTGTGACGGTTGACAATAATTTGGAAATCAAATTGATATATTGTGGAACGGCCGATGCAAACTTACTTTCAATGATGAGTTTCGTTCCTTGGCACGTGACTTTAACTTCTATCCTTCCCCGTCGTTCCGTGTGATCACATCCGCACAAGTTTGGCACACTCTCCTGACATCGCTTGTGCACGTTCATGTCGCAAGCTAATTTTCGCATACGTAGAAACAAAAAAAATATATATATAAACAAAGTATTCAGTTAAAATAATAAGCGTATCACTTTTTCAAGCATAGTTATATATACAATACTATTACAATAATAAATGTGAAAAAGTGTACAGTAAAAGTATACATTTTTTTTTCAAAAGGTAGATAAAGAAAGCGGAAAAAAATAGAGTGAGTTGTATAAGGTGGGTATAAGAATATAATACAATTCAAACGTGCGCAAATAAGTATCATAACTAACGTATTAATGGCATGCAGGGTTGCTAAAATTAGTTTTGGTAATTACAAAGCGAGGACAACATTATAGAAGTTGGACGTTAATGAAATTTGTTTGCCAGTGTACCTAAGACTAAAACTATCGGCTTCTATAATAGGATCGAACGGGCCTCCTGCTACGTTATGTACGTTATGCGAGAAATATATACATCTATACAGCAACAGTAGAATAATTGATTAGGATCTTAACGGCACGGTAAAAAATTAAAATAAATACATTTTTTAGGTTTTTTTTAATTTTTGCTTGTTTTGAAAGCAATAGCCAACTTTTTCTATCGTGTGATCTCTAGTAAGTCTAAATAAAAATAGTATTTATCGAAGAAACTAATATGTATATTTTCCAATATAATAATTGTATCTTTATTACGTAAAGCAAAATAATAATAATAATAAATATTATAAATAAACAAACATATATTATGCGAATATACAGGCATTATGTATAATATGCGTTACGGTCAAGTTGTGAAATCGCACGTCTCAAATTTAATAGAAATTTTGGAAAATTTAGTAACACGAAAAATGATTTGGTCTATAGTCTGAAAATAACAGTGGCATTAGCACTCAATACAATTAATTATTTTTACAATTATTTTACACGCTATTATATTACATTTGTTGTCGAAAGAAAATACATTCTTAAATAGTCCAGCAAACGAATCTGCATGTTTGCTCAGCTCACCAATTGGATAATAAAAACCAAATTTCGGACTGTATTAAAAAATCACAAATCAAACAATTTCACAACTAGAGCATAATAGATACATACATATATGTTTGTTAAATAATAATTACTAACAATTAATTTTTTTATTATCATGTTTATAATAAAAATAATAATATATAAATGTTTTATCGTCGAGATTATTAAAATGTAGCAACTTGTTTTTACTGATTTAGTAAGTATCTAACCTGTACATTTGAGACCCTGATGGGTAATGCCGTGCAACATAGATCCGCAATGGTCGCAAAAAGAAGGTGTGATATACGTGTGGAGATCCCATTGGTGTTTCGCCGTTTCGGCCTAGATATATCGAGTTCATCAAGATAATAGAATTGGAATAAAGACAAATTTACAAATGGTGTTTTCGTTTTTTTGTTTTTAAGTATTTATTCAAAAGTTATACGCTTGGGAAAAATCAATTTTCTTCATCCGATATAAAAACATAATGTATGTGTACACACTATACAGATTTTAGCGGTAAAACACAACAACGTGCCATACGTCGGAATATAAACCACGACTACATTAAAAATAAATAAATAAAACAATAAAGTGTAATTAATTAAATGGGCGAAAAACAAAAAAATAAAAAAACGAAAAAATTAACAACACAATAAATATTATTATATTATTTGAACTACTATAAATTATAATTAATTTTTTTATCGTTTCGCATTATTGTGTGTGTTGCAGCATATGCACAATAATCAATTTTGCATAATAATAGAGCTATAATATAGTGTATTATTAAATGTGTACGTCCAAAGAGGTAAATATGTATTTTGAATCGAGGGTGTAACCATAGTGATTCGATTTTCGCTGCTATTTATTTATTTTTACCAAGACTACTTTAGAGCGAAAACTAAAATGATTTACACTGCCGCGGTGTACAACAATAGAACGCTGTTTGCTCAGCGCGCGCAAAGCTTATTATTATACGCATTGCTAGTGATAACATTTAGACCAAACGGTACTGCAGCCGTTAAAACGTTTGGCCTAAGATTTCCATAGGTATAACACGCGTAAGTATATGTAAGCATAATAACGAGGAACAGCTTTTCTTAGTAAACACTCGACCGCCAGCACGTTAAGGCTTTGGGCAAATAAACTTTAGAGTGAACGTTTTTTACGACTGCCATTGCCGGGTCCGTTTTTATTAGGTCTGTTTAGCAAATTGAATAAGTTAAACGAGAAAACAAAATGCGAATTAAGTTTTTGGTATTTTTATTTTTACTTTGTTCAAGAACGTGATCAAAAAAATGATTTTACGCGGTTCAGCAAATCATTTTACTGCACAAACAAACCGAATGGTAGCATCACACCAAGTACAACGATAATAATTTTCATAGTAATAACAAAAACGAAGATTGCACAACATGTTCAAAACAACGGACGCCTAAAAAAAAAAAATCACCAAACCTAAATAACACACGATTATTATAAATCGACGGGCGTCGGAAAAAAATAAAATATCGAATCTATTAAAATAACAAATTGGCTTTCAGATAGATTATATTGTTATCATATATTATTATTATTCAAAATCGTCATTATTCCCGGGAAATGGCGAAGGTGAAAAAGAACAAAAAAATTGCATTAAAAATTTCATTCGCCTCGTGGCGCCCGCAGCTAGAATATTATGCAAACATACATTTTGTTCTCCGAAAATGGCATACCGCCGCTGTTGCTATAATAATATCAGCGTCCATTTAATAATAGGGCTTAGTAATAATAGCATTAAAAATGAGCCTGTTTACAGTAAACCAAAAGCTACGGAGAACACGGCACCGTCGGATGTAAATATTTAAACGGTCTGTAAAATGTATACGTCATAGTCTAGAAACGTCCAAGTGTACAGCAAACTGAATTCGCACGCCTTCTATTATATTATAATTTTTAAAAACAAGTATTATACATTAACAATACTTGTAAATGCAATCATTATGATAATTAGGTAAACGTTTTTCGAAGACTTTATGGCCAGTGTCACCTCCGAGTTACACGTTGTAATCGATTTTCGATTATCGTCGTTTGAATTAATATAATGATGATGGCATGTGACAGTGATCCGGCAAAAACTTTTTTTGCTTTATCTATCTTTTCCAAGCGGACTACTCGAGAATCGATCAACCGGGAACCTATATAGTGGTGCTTTAGCGATTCGTTTAGGTTTTTTTGTTGTTCTTCTTTATTTCTTTATTTTTTTTTTTTTTACTTGATGCGGTTAAATTATACAGGATTAAACCAGAACGGATTGATGCGAGCAACAGAGATACCTTTGTTCGGATTAATTAGCATAATATCGTGAACACCGTCCTCTCAACATGAGCAAAACCATTTAAACACCGTAAAATATAAATAAATATATTTTTTCTGTCATAAATTCTTCTATTAAAAAATTGGTCGCCCTAATAAAACATTATAAAACCGATGTTGTGGTCGGACAACACACTATAACTATTTAACCTGTTATTTAACTTGGTGGCAAACATTTAGTGGTGATAAAGTGGGGTGAAAAAATGGGCGTTGAGATTTACACGCTGAGATTATTCCTAGTATTGATAATATAAATGTAGTAGAAATGCGGAGACCCAAGTATAATAGGCTTGCTAGGATCTCCTTGACGGGTGACTGAAGCTTCGAACAACTCTTTTTCCGGAATAAGTTCACAATATACACTAACAGTCAGAAAGATAGAGATGAATTAATAATAACGAGGGTAATACAAGGAATTAATTACAGTAGTTACAATAAGGGCTGGCGATCGTCTCTTCCACCTAACTTCATTATTAGTTGGTGTTAGTCATTCATGCGGTTATTTTCTATAATTTTTGCGCAAGCAAGGTTATCGACGGGAAATGAACAATAAAATATCAGGTATCGCCATACAAAATAAAACAATATACTATATACTTACAGCGAGCTCGAGATAATTGAAAACGGCAAACAATTTCTTTTAGGTATTTTCAATTTAAATTCAATTCACTGAGAATGATAGCTGACATTAAAATAAGCTTATTTATTGCTTTGAAGTTTTGTTTGCGCCTGCCCGACACAATTCAATATGTTTTTAATGAGAAATACGAAGGGAAAAAAATCCGTAATAACACTCATAGATCCTGTCTGTATAAAAGTAAATAATTCTAAGTATTTGCAAATAATAAAAATTAAATAATTGAAAAGAATAATTTGACGTGAACTATCATTGCCAGAACACAGAAGTAAAATTGGTATTCTTAAGCAGAAACACGTCTTCCGTTTCCACAACATATCGAACACGCTGGGTACATGTACATAGGTATTGAAATAGAAGCAAAATATTTGCAATAACAATGGATGTTTCATGTCTGACGGAGAGAGTGACAGATAGAAATAGAGAGAGAGAGAGAGAACGGACTGCTGTTATATACGGGGGAAAATATTGTTAAGTTTATCGCAGTTAAAATAAATTTAAAAAAAATGAAATGAAATGTTAATTAAAAAAAATGTAAATAATAATAATATAGAGAACAAGAACACAGGCAGGCATTCAGGTATAGAATACAGAACAAACCAAAATAATAAGAAAATACAAACACATGAATATTGTTGTTGTAAAACGAAGATAAGAAGAAGTTAAAAAAAAAGAAATAAAAATACGTATATATATATTATATTATATCAATGAATACATTAAAATAATTAACGAAAAACAGGTAAATAATATTTAAGTGCGTTTCAGATATTATATGCTGACCTTCGCATTTCATCCCCTGATGTATGACACCGTACAATAACGAGCCACAATGGTCGCAAAATGCCGGGCTAGCGTATGAGTGCACTTTGAACCTGTGCTTGGTCCTGGAAGACTGACCAGAGAAAATATTGCATTATAAAAAAAGAAAACAAAAAATCAACACCGGAGATGGAGTAAAATAACAGTACTGATTTTTATAGATTCGTGCAACTTGTTCACTGAATGGTTTTAACACTTTATTTTAACTGTTCAGGTAAGAGCCTAAATGTTAACTGCAGCTGAAATAAACTTCGCACAAAAATATTTATCTATACATACAAAATAAGTTATGAAAAAATGTTAAACAAAACTTACACATCAGAATGTAAGTTTTTTATTATTATTATTATTAGGTATTTAAATGATAAAAAAGAGCAATTTAAGTTTTTACTACATTTTATAACTCATTTTTTTAAGGTATTATTTAACGGCGCAAAATTATTTAAGTACAATAAGTTACCCAAAATTGTTATTGTTTGTATAACATTCGCGCATTTTCTTGTAAAATGTACCTATAGTAAAAGTTTTACTCTTAACATGGAAAACGAGTGGTTTTCAAATCAAAATAATCAACTATTTACAATTATTCATGGTCTCAATGGCGGACAAATCATGATAACTTGTTTTTTAATAAATAATAAAAAACAACCGTATTTTTTGCTCATTATACACATTACAATTTTGTTGTTGTTAGCTAATATCTCATAATATTAATCTTTGGATTTATGAAGCACGCGAAAAAAGTACTTCATTAGAATCCTGAAATGAAAAGAGTATATTGTAGCAATAATGGGGTTCACGCACCTAATATTCACATGTGCATTTACACACTGATCTGTATTTTTGTGCCTGTAAACATTTTTATTTTCTAATCCAAAATTGTCAATTTGAAAAGCTACCTAACCGACAAGCAATTTTTATATATATTATTTTAATTTACAACAACAATAACTCAAAAAGTTTTGCCGTAATAAAACCACGAATGACCTAAATAATCCTACAACAGTTCCTAATGACTAATGAGTATGGTTTTCGAGGGGGTGTAGCGGCAATGAATAGTGTTCATTATTTCGATACATACAACGTGGCATACTTTACATACACACACATACATATAATACAGCAGCCTAATCAGTGACAGGGAATAAAATACATTATACTAACAAAAGTTAGTTTGTCCAAACTCATGTACAAGGTTGAACAGTGCTCGTGAAACTTTTTTGTTTTAATCAAAATGCATTACAAGTTTCACGAATTACAACATGTTATGTGAATAATATTGCGAAAAAAATTGTTTTCTTCACGTTAATGAATAAAACGAAAGAAAAGTCAATTTAGATACACATATCGACTATACAATAATTATTCGTGCAATATCCAACAGTAAACGAATACGCACACAGTTAACACAAAAACAATTCGCATTGAGGTGGGTGTAGAGTGAAGTTTTTTTGACACTGAATCAATAGTAAATGAGCAAATCGATTACATATTAGATATTAGAATATTATTAAATTAAAATAAACTCAACACATATTATACTAACTTAAAAATAAAAAGATCCATTTATGAAAATCATAAAACGCTTTTGTCTTTGTCACATTGTTTTGAAATTTTCCAACGTAAATCATTGACAGAATATCTGTTTATGACAAGCGATTTGATTAAGAAGTGAATATATTTATTATATTTAATTTTATACGGCCGCTTTTAGTATACAAAATAAAATACTAAATAATTGTTCTTTGTTGTGTGTAAAAAACAATGGTTTTGTGAGTGTTTAAAACACGTAATTGTTTTTCATGATAACGCTACGTCAAACATATAATTAATACTTAAAAGTGAATTTTTGACAACTGTGGACAGTTAATAAAAATAGAAACAATTGCCGTGTAACATTTTTTACGCCTTAACTGTTTACAATACATACTTTGAAACGGTGAAAATAATAGTAGTATCCACCCCCACTTTTATTTAAAATAAATTTATTCAGTCCCCAAGGTTTGTTGATGGAATATAAAAAGAGAAAAACATAAAACCAAACAAATAACAAAAAAACTCAATAGAGGCACAACCCAATAGATTTGGGTACACTAAGGGTCTCCGAAATGAAATGTTTTCACAAAAGAAATGTGGTTCAAGCAAAACCGTACAGTCCACCGAGGTAAAAAAAAAAGATAATTTCATACTAACAACAAAATAAATGTCTTCAAAAAAAAAACAACCGCACCAATAGGATCCTTGTAAATTAGCATTTTCTGCAACACTAAAAAAGCAAATATAAATTTCCTTCTTCTACTTTTTTTTACATACAATAACAGACAGCCGATTAAAAAATAACAGAACATTATTAAGTTGATAGTAGTTTATTTAGCCCATCTTCAGATTTTTTTTCTCCAAAAAATATTGAAAAAGTATAGTTTTGTCCGATTTTGGTTTTACCTTCCACCCCGTCATAATATTATATTCCACCAAAGACGACCGTAAAAAAATAATAATAAACGCGACACGACGCTACCTCAAATTAACGCATCAATATTCGAAAGGGTAGGTAGTGCTTTTTTGAAAATGATAACATACACACCGCTATATTAGCCCCGCTGAATTAATATATTATTATCTTTGCCGCCCTCGAGTACTCGGGGGGGATGAATTATTTAAAGTTTGGTACCTCGCCACCGCAGAAGCCAGGAAGCCGCTGTAGCTATATCAACTATGTATATATTGCTGTTTTATATAGACAACGTAATCTAATTACGTATTCAAAAGTGATTCCAAAATTATAAATAATAATAGCACGGGCCAACCTTAAGATCCTAACATGGCTGCCGCCGCTACCGTTGTTATTATTGTTTAAACATTCATAAACTGAACGCGATACGATTCCATAAGGGACGTGATCGCGCACAACTCATAAGAAATTGAAAGGCCCGTGTAACCTAAACCGTGGTACATTAAAAATCATATTAAATCGTTACCCGAATAATAATTGAATTGTTTATTTAAAAACAAAAAGTTTACGTACACTTTAAAAATCTGTATTTGTCATGCTTATCTAGTTTCACGTAGAACATAATTCGTGCAACTTTTAAACGAATTCAGAAAAATAATACACACGAACACAAATCGTTATTATGAATATAATTTTGAAATTTTCTTAAAAAAAAAAAATAATAAGTAATTGCAATTTACAAATAATCTTTTTGGTTTTTTCTGAAAAATTAAAAAATATGAGTATTCTGACGATATTCTTAGTAACAGCCCTACTCGATTAGAGCAAAAATTGTAATTGGCCCTTCTAGACTGAAATTACATATTTGTATTTTATTTTACATACAAAATATATATTTCTTATACGAAAATATTACAGCCACACGTGTAATATGGAGGCTTGTAATGCGAGGAGGCTTTGAAATTAGTCGTTCTAGGTATTGCAAAGGTCCGGCTCTGCGCCTGATTATTCATAACCCTTTAGCATATTATACAGATACAATAATTCCAACGATCCCCCCCCCCACACACACACACACAGCTTTAGACTCTACCCATTGGATGAACTACCGGCCGAACATGGTCGTCGAAATCCTAAATCTATTTTGGGATTGGTACGCGTCACCGACTTAATCGAACGCCAAAAGCGTGATTTATCTTGTCATCGACACCGTAATGATATAATATTATAAATCATATAAAAATTGCTTGAGGCAGAATGTCAACTGCCGACGCGCGCTCGTGCGAAAAAAACCGAAAGAACGGCGAAAGAAAAAAATAAAAAACAATACACACACGCACAGGGTGTAACTGAATTGAATGTCATACTCGCACTGTTTATGACAAATTATTTTTATGAATCCACTTTCAACATTTGGGAGTTTTTCTCATTGAATAATGATGTAGTAAAAATATAAAACTAACCATAATATTTTACCTCGTGTTTTCATACAAAACCACATATCATTAGAAGTGTTTTTTCTTTTTATTTCTTAACTTCATAACTTAGAGGCAGGTGTGCCATGCGTGATCGCGTACACGACGAAAGGAATTCTTCCCGGTGACACTAATAAAAAGCCAATGATTTTTAATACAAAACGTATGATAAGAAATACAATATTATCGTTAAATTAATTCCATCATTTGACGAATGTTTTACTTTACAACGACCCTATCTAGTGCGGTATCCAAAGCACCCTGTATATAAAATTCAACACACGTTTTATCGAAGACACATACTCAGTTATTGATCGTTTCGATTTGACCATCGCTATTTGTCAACTAACACGCGACAGCGGCAGTAAGAAATAAACGATTGTAAGCTATATTATCTATACAGAATTGAGATGTTTTTTTTTATATATTTTATCAAAAAAACTCCAAACCGTTTAACTTATATCGTCTGTCAAGTTAACAAATATACATTATATATAAATCATATGACGCCTTCTTTACAGATTACGCAGTTTCTCACCGTACAGCGTCAGGCATCTTAACGCGTGGTTTACACACATAGCGTTTGTATATAACACAACGTAGTATAATGATAAGACTGGCAGCTTAAACAATTCGTAATGGATTTTTTTTAACGTCACGTCGTGTGATCAATAACCTAATGACGCATAATATATTATAGTATATTATCGCATAATGGGTAGTATTCCGGGGACAAGTTGGCCGGCAAGAAGCCGACTCGTGTGACAGGTGCAAAGACTATAATAAGCACTCAATATACAAGCAATTTATTTGCATAAATCCATTAGTGTAAGCGGCGTAAATAATAAATATTTGAGGATCGTAAAAATAAATATTGTTAAGAAACAAGAGAAAATATATACTGAAGTATTTTTTGCACATTCGATTAGTTCATGAAAAAATTGTACACGATAAAAAAAATCTGTAACGAAATGAGTGTGTTAGCGTCACCTTTGCCAAAGAACATAAGGCGGCTTTCGATATATTTTTTACGCTTTTATTACTCTACACTTTTTCGACAGCTCCATTTTTTAATTTAAACACTATAATGTTTAGTTCTCTCTTGATATTATTAAATATAAAGAACAGAATGAAGCAATAACATTGGAACGTTTTATAACTACACACAAAGAACACTTCTTTTGATCAGATGAAAAATCGTGTTACTGATATAAACAATAAAATGTTCATATTTTTTAATATTGTAAATTTTAGTTGACATCTTTAAAAATAAACGGCAGTATACTATATTAAAATGTCGGAAAATTATTAAATAAGGCAATATTAAGGAACAAAACTTCTGCCTAAAAGGAATAAAAATGATTTTACGATTATTTTTATTTTTTTAATAAGTCTTTCACGACGCAACGAGAAAAATACAATAATTTAACTCTGTTATTATTTTAGACCATAAATTTTATCCAAACCACAATATAAATTAAATCATTACTCGTTTAAATATACCCGAATAATACGATGAATTGTGTTCTAGGATTTTTTTTTAAATCTCTTAATTGTTTTGTATGATTCTGACCGGACAGTGAACCAATTAATAAAGAGAAAATCATTTTATGATTAAATATACAAAACAAAGAACTAATACAATTAAATAAAGATACCACTGAAGGTTTCTAATAACAGTAATAAAATTAGAAGTTTTAAAGTTATAATGTTTACAGACACACAAAAATACACATAATCGTCAAACCAATAATCTACTCAGTTTATTTAAGCAAAAATTATACAATACATAATTATGATATTGAATCCATACAAATTTTCAACCGCAAAATTAATGAGTATTATATATTTTAATTTTTAAATAATGTAAATAACCTAAATAAATTGTTTAAACATTTTTTTAACTCTTGAAAATTCAAATTCAGTGGGAAATCCGCAATTAATCTTTTCTGGTCCTATTACCGAGAAAATAGCCAAACGGAAATTGGAAATTTAACGGGTAGTAACGCATTTCGTTGTGGTCAAATTAACGTTTTTATTGGTTGTGCCGGGGCCGGATATAGATTGAGGGCATTGCCCCTCTATCTCGTCCGTGAACACATTAATTTCACACCAATCCCATTTCCTACTTTTTCATGGTACCGCAGAAGAGCAACCGATGATTTTGTGGACCTAGGGGTCCAACGGCAGCGGTGGCGACACACCGAGTTCGTTTGAGAGTTATTTTAAACGACAAAAATGTTGCCCGTAGACGCATAATATCTGTTGCGCTTAGACCGACCGACGGCCATCGATCGTCTCTCCAACAGGCTTTGCGTATGGGGTGCAAACCGTTCCTGTATGTATGTTTTACAGGAGCCACTGCCGTCGCCTCCACCGGCAGTTTACATCTTTTTAACGAGCGCCACTATGCGCCGAAGACTTGACCCAATTCCCGCGCGTCCGACGCTTCTCTAAAATATCTAAATACTATACTACTCGACCGGTGGCGGGAGGGCGTCGAGGGGAAATAGACTGCAGCGGCGCTATATTATTTAGCACACCACCGCTTTTGTAGTTGTATTCTACATTATACACACAATGTAGGTGGGGGGAGGCGGCTATAAGTTTTTAACTGGCCCGATTTTCATACATCTCACCCGAAAGAATGACCGCTGAAATATTTTGAATACTGTTTTGGATCGAAAAGATTAATACGTGTCTAGTATTTTTATTTTCGCTCCATTTTCGGTCATTTTTAATAAAAAAATGCGAGCATGACGTCATTCTCGTGAGGCGTACGCAATGTGTCATCCCAGAAGCTACCGAGCCACAGTGCAGACGTGACAGTTGATTCTTCCTTTTTGAAAAACAAGCGTAACAAATGACGTCGGTATAGTATCAACATATCCGATATCAAAATCAACAAGTGCCAAAGCAAACCGCGACAAACACTTATACGAATAGAGTGCGAGAGCGTAAAAGTATACAGAGAAAAAAAATTCCGCACCGGGCCCTGATTATAATTAGTTTCTAAGACGTGTACTGCTTATTTATTTGTATTTTATTTAAATTATCCGCAAAATAATTTTACCGTCCTTAAAAAAAAGGGATTTGTATCAGTTAAAAAATCGTGACGTTAGTTATTTTTAAGGACTCGATCGAGCCGTAATTCGAAACAATCACTTGTTGCATACTAAGTACTTGTGTTTTCACGATGAGAAAAAAAACAAAACAAAATTAACCATAATACCGATTCTAGTTATTAATATATATATTGTGTAATATGTACACAACGACTACCGCTTTGTAATGTGTTTGAGCAAAAAATACAGTCGTCCTGACCGGCAACGCAGTGGTGTATCGATATTGCCTATGCAGAGTGCCGTCCTGCCCGGCTAAAGCTATTTAGGTACCAGCGTGTACCCGGGTCGGCCTACACGACTACCGCTCCTGGTTTAATAAATGCAAAATTAATTAATGTAAAATCGTCGAAAAACAGACGCCATTAATAGCGGATCGATGCGGCAATTTTTCACGACCATTTACCGCCGATCTCTTATAACGGCGCGTCGTTAACCATATGATTTATGCGTATAAATAATAACACAGCTGATCCGAACGTATGGTCGTTCCGCACAAATTATGTTCTGGTGTTTGCGCGTACAAAAAAAATTAGATATTTTAAAAGGGGAGAAAAAGAAAATATGATTATACGTGGTAAAATTGAATAATAACATTAGGATACACTACTCGGTACTTACGTCGGAATCAGGTCCCTTGTCAGCTCCAGGGCACGTGAAAGATACGAATTCGTGGCAACGTTTGTGTACGACGAAACTGCATACTGAAAACACAAAAAAACAAAATAGTATTAGTAAGAAACATTTCAATATTTTTTTTCTTTCTTGTTTAACTTAAACATTAAGTGTATACAGAATAAAAAAAAAAAGAACCAAACTTATTAATACCCGAAAAACAAGAAATGCTCATGGAAAACAATACAACATGAGCCACCTCAATAAAAACATCAAATAAAATCCTAACTGATTAAATTAAATCCAAACTTATATTTAAGTTTGTAGTGACAGTTCAAATTTTATTACTCTCTTTTTTTAAAGGTAAAATATTATTAGTTGGCTAAATTGTGCGAAAGGGTAAACTTTTAGATACAACATTGTACCTACTCAAAAAAAGGTTTTCATAAAAAAACACGTGTAGTTTTTATGTGCAAAAATCAGAGTTGGAATTCTGTAATAGTGCTCCTTTACACCTTTTTTTTTATTTCATAATTATTTATTTTTTATAATAAGTTAAAAAAAGGTTTTTCTTAAACATAAATATTAATAAAATAAAACTAAAAAAAAATGTATTTATAAGACACGACATAAATGAAGTTTCATTCTTCTCAAAAAGCTAAGAAACGGTTTTATTTTTTTGAGATGTTGGCAAAGCAGTACATAGAGAGCGCAGTACATAAGCGAAGGCCTGTTTTGTAAAAAAAAATAATAATGAATAAAGATTGTGATAGTATGATATAAAAATGTACTACCATTAAACAGTATTCAATACTATGCTAATAAATATAAAGTATAATTATTAGCTCTAAATTGAAGTTTTGCAAAAAGTGCTTATATTCCTATATAAACCTTCTAAATCTTTAATAAATAGGGGATGTGGCGGTACACAGCACCGAACCTAACAATCATGCAAGCTTACGCCTACCCGAACGCCAACAGTCTTGACGGTATTAAAAAGCAGTTAATTTTTATTAGTCGCTATTTATTCCACTTGATGGTTCTTTACTCAGGACGATAAGAACACGGAAAGTACAATTTTGCAATTAATAAAATTAATTGTTATGCGCCATAACATATAATTATTTATTTAATCGTAACTCGTAAGGCAGAGAATCCTTAGTCCTGTCGACAAATAAGTAACGTTCTAAAAATTAAGGTCCACTTTTGCACAAAAGTGACAGTTTTTTTTTTAAAAAGGTAGGTATAATATTTAAGCTTGGCAAAATGTAGACGTCTCTAAATTTTAATAAACAGTTAAGCTAATGAATGAAAAATTAATTAAACTCTTAACAAAAATAAAAAAAATAATATAATGAAGAACCACGTGCTCGGCGCTAGTAGGGTGGTTGTTTCTTTTCAATTCGTGATTAAAACATGAAAAAATAACCAACCATACTAAACCGTCTAGACAGAAAGGCAGTAGTAATTTAGGATTTTAAATTGACACAGACTACTTGCAAACTGTCAGAAGAATTAAAACTGGAAACGAAAATAACAATAAACATTTGTCAAATAAATAACGTTATTTAATAATACATTACATACAAATAATGTGATATCACTCACGTAATTCACAAAATCAAACACGCTTAAGTAATTAGACATAGTTATTATTATGATAATATATTATATATTGACAGTATACAAAGGATAACGACCGTAAACATATAGGTGGTAGAATAATCAATATAAAAATAGTTACCAAACGAATATAACAAAACCAAAGTATCTGACGGCTATATAAGAAGTACATTGACAGCAAAACGTGAACGTCCTTTTGAAAGGGTTCAAAGGCACGCAATAAACTCAAAAATTAAATACGATATACGACAAACAATTCGCATAATAACTTTACATATTTAATTGCTCCTTGAAAGAGCGACCCTTTGGTATTTACTAGAATAACGGTCGGAAAATAACACACAACGTGCCCAATGTCTGTGTCAAGGAGCTTATAAAAGAAAAAAAATCATTAAAATTAATAACGACGAATAATAATAGGTTTTATACGATAAACAAATAGAACTTTTCCAGATTTAGTTTTAGAAACAAGAGAGCCAAAGCGAGGTACACAGAAAGTATCGCTCAGAACTTAGAAACAATGATATATATAAGTTTATAAAAAATTTTCAAACATTTAAGAATATTTGTTTAGTAAATGTGATTTAATGTTATAGCGATGTTATCTTATGATAAAAAAATAACCTCATGAAAGGTGAAAGGGCAATTATAGTGAAAATCGTATGTGCGGAAGTGTCGGATTTCGAAGAAAAAGCATAAACGGGAAATGTATGAATAATAATGAGCACAGAAGTAAACAAATTAAGCAGAGTCAATGGATCTAAAAAGGTTGAGTTAAAGGGGAATCGATTATATTTTTTTTTGATTTATTAAATTTATTTTATGATTTAGCAAGTATAATACACAGTATATATTTCTATATAATACTTGAAAGTTGTTTTTAGTCGCAATCACCATAGTTATTTTATATTATTTTCACGTATAGTTTGGTAATTAAAACAGAAAGCCAAACATAAAAATTGCAAAATGCTAATGTAAACCAAGTAATAAATTGGTGAATTGGATGAAACGTAGTTTACTCGCTCAGATAAATTATAAATATTCGTACTAAATACTCGTGTATAGCGCGTTCATTAATTAAAACGTTGTTCATGTTTGACACATACAGTCACATTCGACACCTTTGTTGAATATTCAGTCGACCCTGGCTGCCAGTAGGGTACACAAAAAAGCAACTAACCCATATAGTAGTAAATGCCATCATCGATACTGAATCGCGTACCCTTTTTCTGCTCTCTACTCGCCTTTTCACCACCATTCTAGTAAAAAGCTTCTAGTACTCCAGGCAAAATCGTTGAATTAATGTACAAGATTTTTCTTCTTAGGCCACATAATTTACATGTAACAAGAGTTTTAATTTATTCCTTTGAAATTCAAAGAGCGCTTCTAATGAGGCCCTTTTCAAAGTCCTTCCGTTTTCCGGCTCAGCATTAACGTCTTCAACACAATACTGTACTGTGGTCTTCGAGCGACCATATCATCAAAGTTACTTACCCTTTATTATACGGCCTCCATTAAACCAAAAAGCTAATCTCGAATTAAAACCGAAAATTGAACAATAAACAACAACTTAATAGTTTTCGTTTTTAAATACCTATTCAACGTGCGGTCTGGGCTGTAGCCAAACAGACACATAATAATATTCGTGTATTGTACTGCGATACTATTTGACACGTCTAATCTATCCAATTTAATTGATCAACAAACCGTTTGTTTAATCAGCGATGACTTATCACTTACCTCGATGAAAGCCATCAAAAAGCGCTTAATGTAATTTAGGAAACACGCGGATGTAAACGGAGTACTAGAATTCGGTTAAGAGATTGAAAGTATATATATGAGAGTGCCAGTATGTATTCGTGTACTCGTAAGTCGTGTTATCCATTGGCTCGACGACGAACATTATTTTCAGCGTCACTGTGTATTACACGTGATCTTATTCAAAGTCTTATCCACTTGTCAACCCAAAACAAAAAAAAAACGGATGGGCTTGTAAAAATCTAGAGACATCACGTACGTTGTATGAAATAAATTTAATTTTCGATGATCCCTGACAAGCGTCATATTTTATAAAAATCCTTACCCCTCGGGGTTTGGATAAATACTTAGTTAATAAAAAACAATCCCTACTATTTACGAGGATACCGTGACGAAACCACCTCGCAATAGGCCTTGGAGATATCACGAAACAGATAGAAAGTCCCAACACGGAAACCAAAAATTACATTAAACACAGAGGTAGCGAAACCCCGTAATGTGTTTATGTCCGAAACACTCTTAACCCACCCAGTGGTATTCTTAGATCTCGATAAAGCAAATGGATAATTCAATTCCACGCGATAAATCTAGACAAACAAGACATTTACAACCAGGATAAGAATCATTTAAACTCAAACCCCTAATCGTTTCGGCGCACTGTCTATATTTAATTTAAAAAAAAGAACGAAATAAATACATTTGTTATTAAGTCATTTGCAACGTTAACGGTTTAAATTGTAAATTGCTATGTTACATTCAACAGTTGTATAATAAATTAAACGAGCGTGGAAATCCAGACGTCAAGGTGTTAAGTGTTTATTTCACACACGGTATACACACTCAAAACGTATTTAATGTGCTTCTGTTAAAATATCATATTATAATATTATGTTTCATTCCCTAGCCACAAGCCAATTAATTTATTTTTACAATAGAGTTGCATATTTTCCCAACATCTTGAAGCGACAGCAAATTAGCTATTGACGACAGACTAAATCAAATATAATAATGTAGTATAATATAATAATTAAGTATGATAAATGAATAAATGTGGACACAATGATTTGCTTATAAAAAGTTACCGGTTAATTATTTTCCATAAAAACGATTCTTAATGAATAAGTTCCCAGTTTTTTTATACTTTTTAGTATGTATAAGTAAATTAGGGCAATTAAAAGTATACATTTGTTTGGATATGACAAAGAAAGTTTTATTAAATGTTTTGCAAATATAATCTAAAAAATTATAAAAGAAAAGCCTGTAGGTACACCTCAATTATCATTGTCGCGTTTTTATTGTACTTGCATTATACTACACACTATTAAATATGAATACCAATGAGCTTTCTTTTAAATTATTACCGACATTCCAGGGGGGTACTGTATTTCAAATGGGTGACCGCAGCTACTTTTTTTGTAAAGCCAGCTATTGTTTCCAAAACTTCTACCTACGTAGACAACAATACAAAAACTATAAAAAAATAATTTATAGATGGTTTCTATCAAAAAAAAAAAAAAATCACAGTATAATGTACATTATTTACATATCCATAAATGTAATTTTGTGGCGATATCAAATTGTTATGTACAATTATATAAAAAAACTTTCAACCGAGATAATACAAAATTATCTCCTTAAAATATTATATACTTCTGGACTTTGATAATAAAATTCAGAATTGACACTACTAACAAATAATAAAACTTGA